GACGACAATTTTGTAATGTTTGTTGACCTATTTTGTAATGTTTGTATAGATTCGGTTTGTATTGTTTGTCATTTTTAGTGACATTTTGTACGGTTAGTATGCTTTGTACTGTTTGTTGGTTTATTTTGTAATGTTTGTACGCTTTGTTATTTTGTAATGTTTGTCAGTTTTTTTGTAATGTTCGTAAACTTTGTTATTTTTGTGAACCATGTTTATCATTTTTGTCAACCATGTTTGTAATGTTTTTTATGTCTCAAAAACAACCTGGTTGACTTTTGTATGGAACTTCTCTATATAGGGATGGAGCCTCCAAAGTCAACCCGGATGTTTTTTCCCGTTCGTATGGATTGTCGGTCTAGTTTGTCATTTTTGTCCACCATGTTCGTACTGTTTGTATGTCTAAAAACACCCGGGTTGACTTTGGGAAGGAGCCCCTCTATATAGGGATGGAGCCTCCAAAGTCAACCCGGGTGTTTTTTCCCGTTCGTATGGATTGTCGGTCTAGTTTGTCATTTTTGTCCACCATGTTCGTATTGTTTGTATGTCTAAAAAACACCCGGGTTGACTTTGGGAAGGAGCCCCTCTATATAGGGATGGAGCCTCCAAAGTCAACCCGGTTGTTTTTTCTTTTTGTATGGTTTGTATTGTTTGTCAGTCTAGTTTGTATTGTTTGTACAGTTCATACGTTTGTAATGTTTGTATGTTTTGTCGTTCTAGTTTGTACTGTTCGTATGTTTGTATGGTTTGTACTGATTGTAAATCCGGTTTGTATACTTCGTAATTTTTCATAATACCCAAACTACCCCTGTCATTAATTAAATAGCCCTTCCCACCTTTTAACCATTAGATTGAAGTGTCCAGATCTAATGGCTAGGAGGGGCTTAGTTAAGTGACTAAGCACCCCCCTTAGTCACCAGATCCGCACTCCATTAGATGTGAAAGACAAGTTAGGATATAAATTACTATAGGCCAGACATCTCTTTCCTAGCCCAAACCGATTTGGCTGATCAAATTACCCGCAGCAATTAACATCGTCTTTGGGCCTTTGTGCGCACATACCAACAGTTAACGGGCCTAAAGGGTTGATCCGGCCCACTTGAAGGACACCTATCGCCAGTTCGCAACCTTTCCCTCTTAAATCCCGCCAAAAATGTCTATTATATATCTCACCGGTCCCCGCGATCAAAATTGTCTTTGAGACTTAGGGGTCTTCCATACATGCCACATGTGCAGCCGCCATGTTGTCACCTTGTTGGCGCCATGTCATCTGCCACATGTGACACTACACACTGGACTACATCCCCAACCGCATCAGCAAGAAGTCCTTGTACCTCGTGCAACACTGCTCCTCCACGACTGTCCCAAGCACAACCTGACAACACCTTCTTTATGACGACCTTAGCATCGCCTTGGTAGCAGACTCCCTGAAGTCCCATCGATTCGACACCAAAGGATTGCCTCGCGAAGAGCCACTAACTCCACTACCATCGGATCCGTAAGCGTCGCATACCCCGAAGCCCGAAGCACTACCCCATAAGGCCCCTGTAGAACATAGCGCACAGCTGAATGTGACGACCCGCGAACTGCCCCATCAAAGGAGCACACACAATTCACACCCTGCGAGCCCACCGTTCGCGGGGCAGGCACCTCACCCCCTGCACTCGATGCCTCACACCATTTGTTTCCATAAGAATTATTCAGAATTTACAATTATCTATGTGTGGCACAGTCACACGTTTGATTTTTTTGCCACATAATTAAATTCATTTCATCTCAGCAAAGAGTTTGTCACGTCATAGTCAACTAACTGCCGACCGAACGAAAAATTGACGGTTTGACTATCATTTGATTTTTGAAAAAATTTAACTATTATTCAGTTTAAAATCAAAGATTTTGCTATAAAATTGTATTCATCCTAATTTTTTTAGACAACAATACAGTATTTTAGATAAAAAGCCGCAAAGGATTAGGAACTCTGTTAAATATAGGATTAGGAATTGTTGTGGCATCCAAGGTTGTTAACCCGCGGGTCGACCCGGATTAACCCGGACCCAGCCAAAAAAACGGGCCATACGAACCCTTTTTGCTATCAGCCCGGAAATGGTCAAACCCGGATAAACCCGGTCAAACCCGGGTTGGCCCGGCCGGTTAGCCCGTTGGAACGGGTCAGCGAGTTGCTCTTCCTGAGCCCCGTTTTGACCGCTGCGGCGCCGTTTTTGCTTGGAATAAACGACGGTGCGCTGGGCCAAGGCGAGAAGGAGGGTTCAGGGTTCACTTCTTCTTCCTCTCCCCGCAGCGAAACCCTAGAGACACCATTTCTGATTTCCCGCAGGCTGCAGCGCAGCCGTGTCCCGCTCTCGCAACTGATCGCCATCTCCAGGGTTCTTTGGCGGCGCGGTCGCGGTCGCCGGCGGAAGAACAGGTCAGCCTTCACCGCTCCGTCCCTCCTCCCTTCAGCTCCGCCTCTGCTCGGCCTCTGCTCGGCCTCCTCTGCCCGGCCGCCTCTGCCTGACCTTCTCTTCACAAACGCATTATCATATCCAATGGACGAATCTTTTTTATGTCGGTAACATAAGTGAGCGATATCCTGGGTAGGGACTTCAATCTGAGTACTCGAGTCATTTGGTAAGGGTTTCACATACAGCAGTTTTCTTCTTTTATAATGGTATCCACTCTTTTTTATGTGGAGAAAAATGTTGTCATTAGTTTGTACTATACAGCAGCTAGCCATCTTGATGCTTGCGAACTTGATTAATATTAAGGGCTAATACCACTAGGAAACCCGAACTATTAACTTTGTGTCATTTGTGTCCTAAAGTATTCGATATGACATTTGTATCATGATGTATGGTTGTTGTGTGTCATTTATGTCCTAGCAATTTTGTTGACCGTTAAAGATAACGGTTGACCTAACGGTCATCAGTAAAATGTTGACCGTTGGTTACGTGGCACATATGTGGCGGCCACGTCAGCTGACACATCATATTATTTATGAAAAAAATTAAAAAAAAAAGTAAAAAAAAAAATTCTTAACAAAAATCTTCTTCCCCAGCACTTCCACCATCCTCCGCCAAATCCGACCCTTCAAATCCCGACGTTGAATCTGGACGTCGGCGCTGAAGGAATCCCCTGCGACTTTGAGCTCAATCGGAGGAACCACTTTGATCGTTTGCCCAAAATTCGCATCTCCAGAAATTAATGGATCTGAAATTAGGTTTTGAGGTATTCCTCTTCCCACCTCAAAGCATCTCTCTTCCAGACCCATCTCTCGTTCCCAGCCCACCACCATGGTCGGGGAACTTGACAGCTGCCCACTTCAGCTCGTAACCATTCCCGATCTGGTTCCTGTAGATCTCGTGTACATCCGCCTTAAAATGCTCGATCGGAGTGACAGAGTGAGTTCCACCTCTCATTTATCTGCTCCCTCCCCTGATCTCGATCTCAATGATTAAAGCAGCTAGCTAATCAAAGTTTATCTTTCTTTTCAGATGTTGGGCTACGCCGACGATGAAGGCAGTCGGGGATCCTCGCCGAGATGGGGAAACGAAAGGGGAGATAGAGGACCTTCGTCGTCTCCTAGATCGATTTCGCGACGACCTGTGGGCATTTTCAGCTTGGAATCGCTGTCGCCCCTTCACTTCATCTCGCCTCTGTTGGTGTGATTTAGGAACCCATGTTCTGGTGTGGATTCTCTGTAGGTATAGCTCGACAGATGGTGAAGGTGGTGGTTTTGGTGAGTGTGTGTGGGGACTCGAAATTTGACGGCGCCAGATCCGTAGCAAGAGGCTGGAGGAGGAGGTGATGGAGTTGAAGTGGTTGAAGACGAAATCGACAGCGATGGTCGGGTTCGGCGTTCGGTCCCCCGACCCGTCCGCCATGGACTCGACGATTCCCCAGAGCCCCGGCGACGATTCCCCTGCCCCCCGGCCAGCAGTTCGCCCAATTCGGAGCTGGGTGTTTCTGGGGAGTCGAATTGGTGTTTCAGAGGGTTTCTGGATTGTCAGATGGTTAGCAGTTCTTGGGGCTCGTTTGTAGAACTGGGTGATGTCTGTTTTTCTTGTTTTTGGTTGCTGTATGTGATCTATGTTAGTGAAAGCTTGTGAGTCCTGGAGGAAAATTGCAGAGGAAGGAGAAAGGGGAGAGGTTGGAGGCGGAGAAGGGGGCCGTGAGAGGTGTGATTTGTTTTTTTTTTTTTAATTTATAATATATAATTTTTTTTATTTGATGGAAAAATAAATAAAAATTAATATTAAAATTCCATGTCAGATGCCACATAAGCGCTGACTAGACTTTCTGTTAAAAACTAACGGTCAACGCTAGTCAACTCTAACGGAAAAATAGTTTAGGACACAAATGTCATATCGAATACTTTAGGACACAAATGACACAAAGTTAATAGTTCGGGTTTCCCAGTGGTATTAGCCCTAATATTAAATCTATCATCATGGCAATGTAGAGGGGATCTCTCTAGGAAATCAGATATACTGTTCCTATTTCTTGCCAAATTAATTTTTAAATTTTTTGTTTTAGATGTTTTAGATAAGTTTGATTCCAATTGTTTGATGTTTAAGATGTTAGGAAGAAGTTGAATTGTTTGTTAGTAATTTGGAATTTTGGATTGTTTATGTGGAAGAAGAATTTTAGATTGGTTTCTTGAATTTTTAACTATGAGATGGATTTAAGTTGATGTTATGTGAATGATTTAAGTGTTGTTGAATTTTTACTACGTTTAATTTAAGTTGATGTTATTTAAGTGTGTTATAGTTGAAGTAGTGTTGCATTTTTTTTTATGTTGAATTCAGGATAAATAGAATATATTGGCTCTTTTCATATTTCCGGGCTAAGCCGGGCTAAACCGGGCTAAAACGGGTGACCCATTGATCCATGACCCACTAGCTCGTCCGGGTCCGGATCAACCCGCGGTTTGACAACCTTGGTGGCATCCCTTCTCCTTGTGCGGCGTTTTCATCTTCCATCGATTTGTTGGTCTGGCTGCCACCATGCCCACCGAGAACTGCAGCTCCGATTGGGATCCGCCGCCGCTATGCGCACGCTGCGCCTCCTCCAAAAGACGAAGGATCAGCCAAGCCCAAGCCCAAGAAGGAAACAGTCCAGATCCAATCAGCAAACTCGGGGACGATGTCCTCGTACAAATCCTGATTCGCCTCCCTGACCCCAGATCCGCCTCCCGGTGCAGATGTGTGTGCAAGCGGTGGAGCTCACTGATCTTCAGCCCCGACTTCAATCGCCTTTTTGTTCCGCGCCACATGAGCAGGAACAGCAGCGAACCACCTCGATCTGCTTCTCCACTCGTTCGACTACTACCTCTCCATCCTCCTGACCTTGGTCCCCGTGCCTCCAGGAGTCGAGACCGATTTCTGCGTCTGCGATTCCTTCGAGGACCTGGTTTTGTGCGGGTTCGACGAAGAAGCAGACGGACCCAATGGCGAATTCGGCAGAACCTTCTTCATCTGCAATCCGTTTACGAAGCTCTGGGTCGCCCTGCCTCTCGCTCCGACAAGACCAGAGGGGTACTTTCAGATGGAGGCGAGGCTGGTTTGTGAACCCCGGCAGTCTATCGATCTCGATCTAGTTGTTTCTGCTCCGAGTCCAGAGGATGGACGAGCAGGGCTCTTGTCCTTGATGGGTTTCTGAGACTGAGGGATCCGCATTTGATCTCGTAGAATGGGGAGTTGGTTTGGGGGTGCCGCAGAGCCGAAGCAGCAGGGGCTGCACCTCAGCTCGTTCGATTCAACCCTTTCCCGTCCTGATCTTCCTCCCACCTGCACCGACGTTTCTCAGCTCCTGCCGAGACGGTGGAACATCTCGGTCTCACGGGGCGCTTTCCACATATTCGAGCTCTCGACGCCAAGGCCGATTGTGTGCGTGCACACGCCTCTGGAGGCTGGAGGAAAAAGAAGAAGAAGGCCGTCGTCGTGAATGTTGGAGCCATTACCTGGTGTCGGTGAAGGCCTTCGTTTGGTGGCGTGACAATGACTTTCAGCTCGAGCGCTGTTCAGTAATTGGTCTGCATCCAGCGTAACCCAGGAATTGTCTTATTGTATTACCCTTGCTATGGTGGGGAGATGGGAGATAATGAAATCGTGACTTGCGACTTGAGCAGCGGAGAGCTGGCGCACTTTTATCGGCCTCTGTGTCCACATTGAGGATCTTCCAGCCCGCGGTATCTTTCCAAGGTACAAGGAATTGCAAGGCATGTATGCTGGAAGCTACAAATGTTGGGTTCAACGGGGCGGCCAAGTACCAACTCCCTTCAAGAGAGGTAAGTAGTTTGCATTCTTTTTCGTTTGAATCAGTGGAGAGTTTTTGTTGTGTTCGCAAGCACTGCTGCACCCTTGTAGTCTTGTACTTGAACAAATCAAATGATGATGATGATGATGATACTGCAGGTATGTGCCTGTGTGTTTGTGTGGCCGTTTTGCTAACCCCTTCTTCTCTCTCGTTGATGATGATGGATGCAGTGTTGGATCTTCTTCGTGTAAACCGGAAGACACCTGAACTGCTGCTTGGTCGATGATGATTTATGAAAGCTCAGCTCTGCTCTCTCGGCCTGCAGGTGAAGAGGAGGAAGGAAAGGCAGGCTGAATTGGCTTTTGACGTCAAACGAAACTAACAATAAACAATAAATAAATAAAAATAAACATAATCTCATCCTTTGAAACTCACGGTTTCCACCCCTTGACCCTTCCTTTATTGAAAATAAAAAATGAAATAAAAAAACTCACTCTTACCCGTTTATAGCTTCTAATTACCAAGACTCACTCACAAATCCTCTTTTCTTTTATCATTTAGTTTTACTTGCTCTTGAAGTTGGTGTTGACTTTACTTATTGCGATTGCAAGCTACGAAAGAGCATTTTCATCTATGAAGATAATCAAGAATGAACTTCGAAATCGATCGAATGACCAATTTATGAATGATTGCTTAGTTGTGTATATCGAAAAGGATTTGCTTCACAACAAAAGCGTTGAATGTATTTTATAGACAATTCAGGACATGAAAATTTGTCGTGGTTCATATGTAAACATGACATTGTGAACTTTATGAATTAATTTCTAGTAATTTCTATTTAATTTTTAATTATTATCTTATTTTGTCGACGACACACCTCTCCAACAATTCTGAGTCCGCCACTGCCTGGATTGTATAATTTGTCATTTCATAAGGTTATAACAGTTATAAATAATAATATGGATCAAGGTACCCCCTTTTGCCGGTTTTTCATCTAAAAAAAAGATAGCGTATGATTGTTGAAAAGCGTTGAATGTTTAGTTGTGTAGTTGTGTATATCGAAAAGGATTTGCTTCGCAACAAAAGCGTTGAATGTATTTTATAGACAATTCAGAACATGAAAATTTGTCGTGGTTCATATGTAAACATGACATTGTGAACTTCATGAATTAATTTCTAGTAATTTCTATTTAATTTGTAATTATTATCTTATTTTGTCGACGACATACCTCTCCAACAATTCTGAGTCCGTCACTGCCTGGATTGTATAATTTGTCATTTCATAAGGTTATAACGGTTATAAATAATAATATGGATCAAGGTACCCCCTTTCGCCGGTTTTTCATCTAAAAAAAATATAGTGTATGATTGTTAGATTCACGCATCAAATGATTTTTTTTTTATGAATGCAGGAAGTTTACTTCGTATATGAATTAGGCGACCATCATCTTACGAAGAAGATACAGACTTCGAAACCTTAGCATCTGGGAAGTATAGACGAGAGAGGCTCTTGGGTTTGGGACAAAATCATAAAGCTTCGGAATCTATTTGCAGGTAAACTGTGCAGAACAGCTCGGGGTGTGGAATGGGAGGGAGTAGGAATGGCTAGATTTCAGACCAGTAAGCTGTGGCAGAGCATTAGACCAAGAGGAGAGACAGTGGCATGGGCAAAGTTGATCTGGAAGGGAGGTATACCCAAGAACTCGTTGCTAGTATGGCTTGGGGAGAATCACAACACTGGATAAAATTCAACGCTGGAATGCAGAGGTGAATGTAACATGTCCTTTATGTAGGCGGGAAGATGAATCGAGTGATCATATTTTCTTCCGGTGTGGTTATGCGCAGGATGTTTGGAAGGCTGTGTTTCCTGTTTCATGGCATATCTCTTATTGAGGCTAGCTTGCAGGAGGCAGTGGTAACACACAAATAAGAAGCTCGGAGGAAGTCAGGTGGGAAGAATCCTTTGGTGTCTTGTGTTGAGCTGAAATCTGGAGAGAGAGAGAGAATCCATCCGCCATGTGAGGTGGGGAATGGGTTTTGACGCTTAATCCATGTGATTTGGTTGCTTATTATAGAGCAATTATCAAGGCAAATGGATTTGATTAATGAAGATACGTATCTCTCTGTATCTCACAATTCTGACCTAATCCACTGTTATATCCTAATTATAAAATTTCCGCACCTCTTTAGATTCCACGAATTGACTGATTATTATTTGATTGTCTGTCTGTCAAGGAGATGGTTCATGAACCATGAGAGTTATAAATTAATTGGGCCTTGGAATCGGGCCTCGAGCTACGTGTCTGTCCCTTCTTTCCTATGGAAACCGATCGATCACGGCCTATAGGGCTATTCTCCATATCTATTAGCCGATTCAAAACAGTCTCAGCTCCATTCTCGATCCGTTATTATGTAAATTGTCTATAATTTTAAAAGAATTACTTTAAAATTTCACTTTCATTACATCAAATTTTAGCTATACTAAAATTATAATAGATGAGACTCTCGGTTTCTTGAATGTTTTTTTTAATGGCACTTATCATGTTATATAGTACGGTCAAAATTTTAATGAAAAAAAAAGCAACGTATCAAATGTTTTTTTCCCGCTAACAATACATAACCCCTCTGTGTTGATCTAGCCCGCGCCCTGCGCCCCAGGACAATATACCCAACCCGAACCCGTCCTTTCACAACCTTTTATCTATAAACACACACACACATACAAGAATCAGATAGAAAATTAGAACCATGCTCGTACCTGATCTGGTTTTGCTTATACATATAAAAAAATTATTAACATTCATACATATACGGACTTGACATAAAGGAGGAAGTACGATAATAAATATGATAACGGAGAAAATTAATTAAAAACAACACGACTATCACAAAATACATCTACGTATGTGATAATCATACATGTTCAAATTGACTAATGAAAAAATCACAATTATCCGTTACTCGTAATATTATACATGTTCAAACTGAATAACGAAAAAAAATCATGATTATCCATTACTCATAATAGCTAAAAAAAATTCGATTTCCGAAATAGTCCATTTCTTGATTTTTTTTTTTTTTTAGCCTAACTTATGGATGCCACGTGGACACCAGTGTCCAGTAGTGAAACAGCCAGCGCCCAGCCAGCTCAACTTTCGCTTTCCCTGCTCCCATTTCCCCTTTCCTTTTCTCCACCAAATCCTCCACTCTACTCACCCTCTTCCGACGCCATCTTCGCCTCCGCCGTTTCCCAGTTCCTCAATCACCGCCGCTGCTTCCTCATTCATTCACCCCCCCACATATTCGCCAAAGCTAATCGGACCTCCCATCGCGCCGCCGTTCCAAACTCCATTGCCGCGCAATGGGTGGCTGCACTTCAAAGCCTCCCAAGTCTAACCCTTACGCCCCCAAGAACGACCGCCAATTCCAAGCTCCAGATGACCAATTCCAACCTCCGTCAGCTCCATCTCCGCTTCCGAATGCGTCTCCCTTCTTCCCGACCCACACACCCAGCCCTTCCCGCCCCGTATCGACGCCGACGCCGATGCGGATCTTCAAGAAGATGCCCTTCCCGCCGCCTTCCCCGGCCAAGCACATCCGCGCCGTTCTCCGGCGGCGGAAGGACAAGAAGAAGGTCAAGGCAGACGGCGGCGGCGGCGACGGAGGGGAAGGTAACGAGGAGGATGAGGTGGAAGGGGCGGAGCTGGACAAGCGATTTGGGTTCTCGAAAGAGCTCGCGAACAGGTTGGAGGTTGGGGAAGAAGTGGGGCGGGGGCATTTTGGGTATACTTGTTCGGCTAAGATCAGGAAGGGCGATCGGAAAGGGCAGCAGGTCGCCGTGAAAGTCATTCCCAAATCCAAGGTTCTCTTTCTTTGGCGAAATTGTTTGTTTATTCAGCGTTGTGCAAATTATGGCTTGCCGTTTGGTTTCCGCAGTTGTGGATTCTCTAGTGCATTGTGTCATTTTGTCGTTTGGTTTTTGTTGTTTTCTGCTCTATTTCTGAGGTTTCTGCAGCGTTTTGTTGTTATCTGAGCAGAAGCTGTAGACTTCTGGCTGTAAATTGAGAACTGGAATTTGGGTTTGTTCGTTGGCACAGTGACAATAAGGAATGAACAGTGTCTTGTAGTAGGTGTAGTACTTAACTGTTGCTTATTAATGGCGATTGGTATAAACATTTGACATGAATGAGTCATAATGAAATCCATTTCTTCGTCGCAGCATCTCATAATAAATCGCTGTGACCCTATTTACTCATTTCGTTATGTTGCCAGATGACTACATCTATTGCAGTTGAAGATGTGAGGAGGGAGGTGAAAATATTGAAGGCATTGGCAGGACATAGCAACTTAGTACAGTTCTATGATGCGTTTGAAGACTCTGATAATGTCTACATAGTAATGGAGTAAGCATGGAAAATTCCAACTAATTTCTATAAATGTCCGTACTTTTGTGTGTGTTTTAGGTCCTTAGTTGCTCCCCCTGAATCATTCTCGTTCAGTTCAGGATTTTGAATTGCTTGATTATCACCTTTGTAAAATCCTGTGACCTTCTGGGGAAGCTGATAAGTTGCTACGAACATTCCAGGTTGTGCGTAGGAGGTGAGCTCTTGGATAGAATACTTGCAAGGTTTTATTTCTCCCCCTTGTTCTAGTTACAGTTTATATTTAAGGATGAATCTTTGTTAGCTTAGCTATTTTAGGTTTAGTCTTCCTTTTTCTACCGGGGAGCTCAGGCACCATACTTGTTGTTCTACAGAGGGGGAAAATACCCAGAAGATGATGCCAAGGCAGTAATGGTGCAGATATTGAATGTTGTATCTTTCTGTCATCTACAAGGTGTGGTGCACCGTGATCTTAAACCAGAGGTGAAACACGGTTCTATTTCTTGTTTTTTTTTTCTCTGTTCAAAAACAGTTATAATACATGCAGGACACTTTAGGATAGTAGGAAAAGAGAGAAATGAATCTTTATAGTAATGAGGGGTTTCTCATGCCAACCTAACCGTTATCTATATGATTCGTCTACAGAACTTCCTGTATACTTCAAAGGAAGAGACATCTGAGCTGAAAGTGATCGATTTTGGCTTATCAGATTATGTCAGACCAGGTTCGCCTTGTTTTGCTGTAATACCTATTGAGAAGCCGTCCTATCAAATTTTACCTTTTCTTACTTCACCTTCATGAGCTGTTTTCGTTTATTCAGATGAAAGGCTCAATGACATTGTAGGAAGTGCCTACTATGTTGCACCAGAGGTTCTACATAGGTCTTATAGCACTGAGGCTGATGTATGGAGTATAGGTGTAATCGCTTATATTCTACTGTGTGGAAGTCGTCCATTTTGGGCCCGAACGGAGTCTGGAATATTTCGATCGGTCCTGAAAGCTGACCCAAATTTTGATGAAGCATCTTGGGCCTCCATATCTCCGGAAGCAAAAGACTTCGTCAAGCGCCTATTGAACAAAGATCCTAGGAGGAGAATGACTGCCACCCAAGCATTAAGTATGTCTCCTTTCCTCCCTCATTTTGTTTGGGTTTCCAGTCACCATGGTGCTTATTGTGAATCACATTCGTGATCTTCTTTTTCCCCCCTGCAGGTCATCCTTGGCTCAGAAATTATAATGATGTGAAATTACTCCTTGATATCTCAGTACTGAAACTAATGAGGGCTTATGTTCGATCATCTTCTTTGCGTAAGGCTGCTTTAAGGGTGTGTATACATATGGTCCTGCACATGCACCTTCCTAGTCCTAGCAAGTGAAAAACTTACATCAAAAGACTGAATAAATCCGCTGGAGGATATCTGAAGTATATATGAGGATGGATTTTCCAGTTATGCTTGTTTGTCCTTTGATCAACCTCCTATGTTCTTGCTTTGGCGCGATTTTGCAGGCATTGGCCAAGACATTGACTGCAGATGAAGTCTTTTATCTGAAGGAGCAATTCACAATATTTCAGCCAAACAAAAATGGCAGCATAACATTGGAGAACATTAGGATGGTGAATATAATCTTCTTCCTTTGCACCTCACTTGGAGATGACATGGTCATAGCGTTTTAGTAACAGGTGTAGCCTCGATTTCACTTTCTTATGTGGCAGGCATTGATGAAAAATGCAACTGATGCAATGAAAGATTCTCGCATGCCTGATATCCTAGCCTCGGTAGTTGATCTCCCTTGCTTGTTACAAAGACACAACTGTTTAAATTTTTATAGCATAAGATATCGACTTAATATTAATATGCTGATTGCTCGAACCGTTTGCTCTTCATGACAGCTAAATACACTTCAACACAGAAAGATGGAGTTTGAAGAGTTTTGTGCAGCCGCATTAAGTGTTCACCAATTGGAGGCACTTGATAGATGGGAACAGCATGCTCGATCTGCATATGAAATATTTGACCAAGATGGAAACAGGGCTATTGTTATTCAGGAACTTGCCTCAGTATGTTGTAGCTCGTACTCAGCCTTCTTTGATGATGAATGAGATCTTTGATTTGCCCAGCTAGTAAACTGTGCTCACTAAATGATAATGGGTTGGGTTCAGGAGCTTGGCCTTGGACCATCCATCCCAGTTCATGCAGTTCTAAACGATTGGATAAGACATGGCGATGGTAAACTTAGCTTCCACGGGTTCATCAAGCTGTTGCATGGCATGTCTAGCCGAGCCATGATGAAGGCGTCATGAAAACACCTCTTCTTCCTGGCTACACATTCGAATGGTAAGTTCCATGAGGACTTTCTTTGAAGTGCCTTGTTTTCACCATGCATCGAACCAACAAGTTTAAAGCTTGCTTCTGTTACTCGTACCATGTTCATTTGATTACTCCCCTATCACTGTTGTATCACATCATGGTGGGATCAGGTTAGGTTTCTAAACTCAAGTGTTACCATTTGCATAATCTTTGTCCAGGCTGGTCAGAAAGAAGCTAGCTTTCTACCCCAAAAAAAAAAAAAAAAAAAGAAGCTAGCTTGGTTTCCATATCATAAGGGGAGGATTTGTGCTGGGAATTGATGAACCAGCTGGGCGACCACCACCATGGCCGCCTGGGCGTGCATTGATTTCGTATTGCCAGAGATCATCTCATCACTATGCAGCAGCTTCTTCCAGCAAAATTGTAGTTGGAAGATATCGATGAGCTCTTCCCCTAACAGAAAGAGAAGCTTGACGAAAAAGAAAACTGGCATGGTGAGGATTACATGCTGGTACTGAGTTTGGGGTAGATGATGATATGGAAGACCATTGTTGAGCGCCATGCAATTAGTCTGGGACGAGATCATTAACGCAAACAACTAACAACAGGGGCAAGCTGATCATCATCGTCATCATACAACCCACATCCATATGGTACTACTACTAGTATTCGTATATCCCATTGTTTTGCTCATGTACCCAACTATAGCTAATTTAGGCTCTGCTGTTCTCAATTCTTGATCAGGCCTCTAAACGCATCCATTTTATAATTTAGCTGCTGTTATCAATTACCATGTTTCCAAGCACAGGATGTATGCCAGTTGCAGAGAAGCTTCTTTGATCATGCCAAGAACAAGTTGTTTGCAATGACTCTTAAGTGATTAGGAAGATCCAAGATTGAATCTGGTATCACATCCTATTTTACAATCCTGAATTGTCTGATTTGCCTAGTGAAGAAACGACGAACATCTTTTACGTATTAGCAAAGTACGTATTGCTGTTTGATTATGAACTGAAGCAGAGTGTTGAACTGAATGAGCTAGGTAGGCGAGCTAGTGGCCCGGTCCTCTCCCATGAGGACCTTGTCTTGAAATACTTCTGTTGGTAACGATTTTCGATTGTTCCAACACTTGAGCCTTCCTCCGCGGGTTCTGTTCCCAGTAGAATTCGCAGGACCTGCAAGTACAGAAGTCATATCAGAACTTGCAGTTGCATGCATGGGGCAAAGTACAGAAGGTATTCAGGTTTTTGGGTTAACTTACCTGGTTTTGGTCGATGTCGATCAGCCATGATCGAAGCTGGTTCGGACGAAAAGGCGATTAGCAGGACGAAGCTGATCATCATCATGATGCATCCAGCCACCATTGATAATCTTCTGCTATGAACACCCATTATGTACTAATCTACCTCGCTTAATGCCTCCGGCCTTTCTCGATCTCTTTCGATCTTCGCCGGTTGGTATATGCATGCTTCAGAAAGAGCTCCAAAGCCTTGATATATAAAGACGCCTTGCCCGTCAAGCGAGCAACACGGAGAAACGAGCAACACGGTAATTAAAAAAAAAAGAGCAAAAGGCAGCTGAAGAACACGGTGAAATATTTAAGCGTTGATCCGCCGGCATGCTGGCTACCTGAGTCCACATCTATATAAAATTGATTCAGCTAATATGGGTTGGCTAGCTGATGTTTCCTTAATTTGCTGCTCTCTGCAAGTCGTTAAGTTCACATTGTAGACTAGTATACTACGCGGCCACATATTGCTTTTTCATATACCTGCTAGGGAACTTTTTTTTTTTTTTTTTTGGTAGGAAGGTAGACGCAGAGCGCCTAAGTAACATTAACGATAAAACGTTCATGGGAAACTCTCATTACATCATGTCGGATCCAATGAACAAGATCCTTGTCGTACACATTGAAAGGATGTGTACCAAAAGTGAAACCATGAGCCTTGCTAGCCAAGAAATCGGCCGCCGAATTGGCTTCCCTATACACATGAGACACACGAACATCACATTGAAGGTTCAAAAGGTGGTTAAATTGTTTGGCAATGCTGCCATTAGGGCTGGGCATGCGGGCGGATCATCCGCGGGTTTGGGCCGACCCACCCGCATTTGACCCGAATTTCGTTAAGTGGGTGGGTGACGGGTTGCGCTGGGAGCCATCCGCGGGGTGGTGGGTGGGTTGTGGGTGAGTGTGCGGGTGACCCGCTCAACCCAACAGCAAAAAGATCAAAGTCGTTGGCGCTAGAGAGAGGAGAGTGGAGACGTTAGATATAAACTCGGACTGCTCCTGGAGTTTGAACCTCAAAGCCAACATTCCAAATAGAGATCCCCTCTTCTTCCCTTTAATTTTTCCTCTCATTGTTGTGCCTAGATCACCGCTCTTTCCTTTGTGGAATTATTTTCCTTAGTTTCTTGCACCTAATAATCGTCTCAATTTGTAGAAAACTCTTTCATAATAGAATTTCTATCCAATTTAAGAACTAATTCGACATTTTTCGTCCTATTTCAACTTCTTGTTTGCCTCGATGATTCTCTTCACCTATTATCATGTCAAGTTGACTCCTTTATATTATATACATTGTGATGTGGGTGAACCCACAAACCCACCCGCATCATCCACCATCCGCCCGACTCAACCTAAGACTAAATGTGGGTGGGTGGGTGGTGGGTTAAAAATTATCAATCCGTTTAAGCGCGGGTGGATACATTTTATGGTCAAAATCCACCCGACCCACCCAATGCCCACCCCTAGCTGCCATGTCGATGATCATCTTCCAATCTTCTATCGATGATTTTGATCGCTGTGGTGGAGTCCATGCTAAGTTGGATCTTGCGGTAGCCTGCTCTCCAAGCGATCTTGAGTCCCTCCAAGGCTCCCCTTAGCTCTGCAGCTGTAATGGAGCAGTGGCCGAGGTTACAAACGTACGCTCCAAGGCACTTCCCTGTGTGGTCCCTAAGCAATCCCCCGGCAGCAGCTTTACCACTGGGAGAGAGGACAGAACCATCCGATTGGAGCTGTATCCAGCCTTCGTCAGGTGGTTTCCAGCCAATAAGACATTTCTGCTTGACAGGTCGAACAACAGGAAAGGTTTTCTGGATGTTCTGGTTAGCTTTCTGCACAATATTGAACCAGGCCTGGATCTTGGCACAGACACTGTCACGAGAGAAAGTTCTCCCCTCCATTACCTCTTCATTTCTCTGCTTCCATAGTTGCCAGCAGATAATCCCAAACTCAGTGGCAGTTGGTTCATGTTTGATGTTGAGAGAGAGCCATTCAGAGAAGGGAAATCTTCCATTCCTAGTGACGTCTTTCATCATGAACTTCTCCCATATTCTTTTCGCTTTGCTGCAATTTCTCAAGATATGTTCAATTGATTCATCCTCCACTTTGCAGTGGCAACACAGGCTGGCATTAGAGATCTTCCTTCTTGTCAGTTCAGTGTTGGTGAGTAACCTGTCATGGGAACGGTTTTTTAGAGTATGTGTAGTACGAATAGTGTTGTGTTATACTACGAGTACTAGTATGTAACTGGGTAGGGTTATATTCCTTATTATAGAGTACAAAGACTGACTTTTATAATAATCCTAACACTAATACGAAAATAACCTAACTTCTACGACACTGATAAGGAATATAACTCTACCCAATTACATACTAGTACTCGTGGTATAACACAATACTACTCGTACTACGCATACGTTGTGGAAGCAAACGAACATGCCGATTCTTCCTCGTGCACTCACCGTCTCGCTAAGTGCATATATCTACAGCATGCTTTGTCATGTTTTTTTCTGCACCTTCGTATACAAAAGCGACGACTCTTTGACACTGTAATTTGACCTCGTTTTCGTTGTCCTCTATTAGCTTGAGTTTGAAATCATGAACGAATTTTATGTCCGTTTATGAATAGTTTAAGACCATCTCCATCCCTAATTGCTAAATGTGGTCCCTATAGCCATATCATCATATTTAGCAATTTCTCTTAAGAGAATTGCAAACCACCTACATCCCTAAATTTTGTTTGCAATTGCTATTGTGAGCCCAACTACTATTTTAAATCTATCAAAATATTTTTTCATTGAAAAGTTACTACTAAAAAAAGGAAAAGGAAAGCATATACACATGTGGCATTGCTAAAGGACTTGCTAATTTAGCAATCTTTCTAAATAAGCAATTGCCTCTCCATCCCTTGCAATTGCCAATTGGATTGCCACCTAGATTTTGGCAATTGCTAAAGGTTGGTTTAGCAATGAGATGGAGATGCTCTAAGAGTGTACTGTAGAGCAAAAGTCGAGCTCATCCTCTTCTTTTGTGCACCAGAGACAGACAGCGGTGGTGATGGTAGAGTGAAAGGTTCCAATCAGTGCGAATTTTCAAAAAATAACATATAATCAGTCATTTATTTTCAGACTCACCATATTGAATCATTTGTCAATTTTAAAATTAACCAAACAAATAACCGGTAACCGATTATTCGAATATCGATTAACCGACTAACATAAACAATTCGGTTAGCTGTAAGTACAAATTGACTAACGATTTAAACCGAAATAATGGTTAGGAGTATGACCGAATCGACTAAATTTTCTTCCTTCCGTCACAATTTGGGCCAGTCCATCGCCGCAGTATCCATCCGCCAGTTTTGCCCGAAAATGCCCCACCGGAGCTCCCAAATGCACCGTTCTTTCTCGTCCCTCTCGCCGCCGACCGCAGCTCTTCTGGCGGAAAGAGCTCTCCTCCTCCTCAAACGCCACCCGTACCACCTGAACTCCCTCGCTCCCGAATTCACGCCCGAAGCAGCTTCCCATCTGCTCCTCAAATCCCAGGACGACCAATCCCTAACCCTAAAATTCCTCGACTGGGCGCGGCCTCACCAGTTCTTCAACCTCCGCTGCAAGTGCCTGGCCGTCCACATCCTCACCAGGTTCAAGCTCTACAAAACCGCCCAGACCCTCGCGCAGGACATCGCCGTCACTACCACCGCGGACGACTCCGGCGGCGGCTTCGTGTTCCAGTGCCTCAAGGACACCTACTTCATCTGCAATTCCAGCTCCGCGGTGATCGACCTGGTGGTGAAGTCCTACTCCCATTTGAATTTGATCGATCAGGCTCTCAACATTGTGAATTTAGCCAAGGAGAATGGGTTTATGCCGGGTGTTCTGTCTTACAATGCGATTTTGGATTCCTTGATTAGGTCTAGGAAGCCGTTTAGGTTGGTTGAGGAGGTTTATAGGGAAATGGTAGCTAGCAGGGTGTCTTTGAATGTGTATAGTTATAATATCTTGATTAGGGGGTTTTGCAGGGTGGGGAATTTGGAAATGGGGTTGAGACTTTTTGAGGAGATGGAGAAGTATGGCTGCTTGCCTAATGTGGTTACCTATAATACGGTGATTGATACTTATTGTAAGTTGAAGAGAATGGATCAAGCGTTTGGATTGATGAGATCGATGGCTTCAAAGGGATTGGAGCCTAATCTGTTTACTTATAACATGGTTGTGAATGGTTTGTGTAGAGAGGGAAGGATGAAGGAGACTGAAGAGGTTCTTTTTGAGATGAAAGAGAAGGGTTTTGTGGCTGATGAGGTTACTTATAACACATTGGTGAATGGTCACTGCAAGGAAGGTAATTTTCACCAAGCTCTTGTGCTCCATGGGGAGATGATGAGGAATGGGTTGTCGCCTAATGTTATTACCTACACGTCTTTGATTAATAGTATGTGTCAATCTGGGAATCTGAACCGAGCAAAGGATTTCTTTGATCAGATGCATGTTAGAGGACTTTCTCCCAATGAGAGAACCTACACAACAATGATAAATGGGTTCTCACAACAGGGGTACATGAATGAGGCTCATCAACTGTTGGATGAAATGAAAGCTAATGGGTTCTCTCCTTCCATTGTGACGTTCAATGCTTTGATAAATGGATATTGTATTTTGGGGCAGATGGAGGATGCCAAGATGGTGTTTCATGAAATGGAAAGGAAAGGTTTTGAGCCAGATGTAGTCAGTTACAGTACTATCATAACTGGATTTTGCAGAGCTCAAGAGTTGGACAAGGCATTTCATATGAAGATGGAAATGGTTGAGAAAGGTGTTGCTCTAGATGCTATAACATACTCAGCAATCATTCAGGGTCTTTGTGAACAAAGGAAGTTGATCGAGGCATGTGATCTGTTTCAAGAGATGCTGATTATGAGAGTACCTCCAGATCAGGTTACTTATACAACCTTGATTGATGCCTTCTGTAAAGAAGGAGAGTTGAACAAGGCCCTTGAATTGCATGATGAAATGACACGAAAGGGTTTTCTGCCTGATGCTGTTACCTATAGTGTACTTATTAACGGACTAAATAAACAGGCTCGAACTAGGGAAGCAAAGAGGCTATTACTCAAGCTTTGCTACGATAAAGCCATTCCGGATGATGTCATGTATGATGTTCTCATAGAGAACTGCAGCAACATGGAATTCAGGAGTGTGGCAGCTCTTATAAAGGGGTTTTGTATAAAGGGCTTGATGGGAGAAGCAGATCGAGTTTTTGAATCAATGATTGGAAGAAACCACAAGCCAGATGAGGCTGTGTTTAACGTCATAATACATGGTCATTGTAGATGGGGGAATGTAAAGAAGGCGTATAAACTATATACAGAAATGATTCAGTTGGATTACATTCCTCATACCATGACCATCATTAGTCTGGTTAAGGCCCTCTCCAGCGAAGGGATGAATGAGCAGTTAAACCTAGTCGTCGGCCACATATTGAGGAGCTGCAAGCTTAATGATGCAGAGGCTTCTAAAGTACTTGTGCAAATCAACAACAATGAAGGGAGTATGGATGTCGTTTTCAGTTTGCTTGACAAGATGGCGAAGGATGGTCTTCTTCCAAATAGTGGGGCCTCTGGTCGGTGACCGGGTATATGTCAATCCGATGACAATTCTTCTACCTGTCAAGCTTTAACCTAAGAATACAGGGCCTTCTATTGCATTGATGAGTAGGTATAACTCAGCAACAACCATGATTACTCATTTTTGGCTACATAAACCCGGTACGAGGTTTGAATGGTCATGGCTATTAAGCATTATTTGCGATGCCTGTCCCTCAGGAGAAAGTCCTGGTGAGTGGAAATTTATGACTGCTTGACCGTTATGTTACCAGCAGTTTTAGAAAATACAGGTAAGTCATGAAGCTCCAAGTGTTCAAAGTGAGCGCCGCGTTGTGGTCGAAACTAGACCCATAGTGGTTTGCCAATGAACCCAAGAAGGGCTTTATGCATTGGCATTGTAGATTTGTTCATGCTATAGGGCAATAGGAAGAAAGAAATAGGAACAGATATCCAGATCGCTAGCTTTTCGACAGCCATTTGTGCTTTATGCTGCGCCTTTGTAGTGCGCTTTGTAAGAGGTTCAAGAACACAATACTCCCATTTCCTGCAGTTATGTAGTTGTAATTTGATAAACAATTGATTGCCAGTAGGGCTGAGTCTACAGTCGAATTGTCCCAAGTACACTAATCAATCACATTCTCACACACAAACGAAACTAATACTCTCCAAGCAGTCGTCGAAGATCAAACAAAAAAAAAAATTGAAGGTTCAAACAACAATACAACCCTAAACAACATTACAAAGTTGGGTGTGCTTGTGCTACCAAGCATCTTTTGTTACAGATTTCCTGCCAAATATCTCCACCCCAGGTTAGAGATCTACATTTAGCTCGCCAAAATAGAGGACGATAAGTGAACCGCGATCATCTGAACAAAGTTATAGCTACTACATTACCTTGAAGCTCACATCGGAGATCGGGGCTCGATGCACTCCTACCTTGAAGAAAGCCTGTGGTGCAAATCATCAGCAAGAGCCTGCCGCAAGCTATCACCGAAATAATGAAACGATTTCTCGCTCTCGAGCACCCTCGCAGGAGCAGCAGTCTCATCTGGCTCCCTCCAAACATCAGGCTCCGGCTCCCTCATCTGCTGGCACACATTATGCAACACACAGCACGCAACAATCGTCTGCGGGGCATGGCTCAGACCCACATCCAAATCCTGCAGGATCCTCCACCTGCTCTTCAACAGCCCGATCGCGTCAACGACCACAGACCTCCCTTTCATCAGCATTCCATCGAACAGGTTCTGCGCAGGACTGCCCGACCCATTGGGCGAGAAGGGCGTCATCAGGAACGCCATCAAAGGGTAACACCAATCTCCAACTACATAGGGCCTCACATGGTGACCTCGAACATTGATCACCTTATCCCACACAATATCATCCGAAACCAACCGATTGTACAGCAAACTATCCCTGAAATGAGTTGCATCATCAACAGCTCCCGGCGCCTTCACACAGACATCCCAGAACATCTTCTTGTGATCCGAAACAACCTGCAGCTGGAGCGCAGGATACCCGTACTCACACCGATACAGATTCGATTCATTCGTCGGGAAAGAACGAAGCTTGATCGGGGTTCCGTCAATAGCTCCACACATGTTGGGCAGTGAAGTCAGTTCTTCGAAAGCTAGAGTAACCTCATTCAACCTACGCTTGCTAGCCGGGATCTTAACATACTCAGGGTAAAGCTTAGTCGCCAGCAAGCGAGTAACCATATTAGTGATTTTAGAAATCAAGTACGGTTCGAGATTGTACCGGGAAGCAAGCGACTTGGCTGAGTATCCATGTGCGAGCCTGAAGAGCACCATCGAGACTGCAAAATCGGAAGGCAAGGAGAGGTTGGAAGCGGCGATGTGGGGGTTCAGCTTCTCGACGATTTTGGTGAAAACAGGGTAGGACAGCCCGTAGAGCGCCCTCCACTGCGCGTCGCGGAGAGGGGCCGACGTCCAATCGTTGCTGAGCGACTGAAACACCGCGACGGTGTAGGCGCCGTTCGCCGGCGGCGCGGGGCGCGGGGAGCTGCCAGATTTGCGGTTCTTGTTGTTGGGTTTGGAGCAGGCGAGGAAGGAGAGGAGGGAGGCGAGGGTGAAGAAGAGGAGCGGCGCGGCGGAGGAGGTGGAGAGGAGGGAGGAGGAAGGGGAGGAAGAGGTGACGGAGGAGGAAGATGGAGTGGAGGAGGCGGAGGAGAGGAGGGAGGTTGATGGGTCTAAGGAGTTGTGGAGGTGGAGGAGGTTTGAGAGCATTAGGAGGAAGGATTCGTCCATGGCGGATGGGTTTTTTTTCTAGGGTTTTGCAGAGTGGGGAAATTGGGGGTTTGAGTGAGGAGATTAGGGATTAGGGATTTTGGGGGGGAGAAGAGGAAGCTTTGGGAAGGAAAACTGAAATCGGAGATAGGGAAGATGATCGGATTCCGGCGGTTGGGTTCGATCGGAGTCGGGGGCTTAGCCAGAGATCGACTCCACTGGTTTTAGTTTACAGTCGATCGACTGAGTTTCGCAGCGACGAAGAAGATTACAAATAAACCATTTTCTTCCCGTTGCAGTAAATACTAAATAGATTACACTTTTAGTCCCTCAAATTTACTACTTTACATTTGGATCTAAATTTTTTTTTTTCCAACAGATCACTCGTATTACCAAGAAAACTGTCAGATACAAGAAAACTTTCCAGTTAACCCTACCGGTCTGTCGGGGGGTTTAGTTTTTGGGTGGCCAAGAGGGAATTCGGTCTCTGTCATTGGCTCAACCCCTTTTTTCATTGCTATTTCGGTCATTAATAATAACTCCCATTGCTACGATGCCTGTCCTCGTTTTGTGCTAGTAGGAGTATACTTATCCTACATAATCGCAAATAGGCGCTCACAACTTGAGGAGATTAATAGCTTTTGTGCAAGATTGTCAGACCCCTTCCTAATAATTGGAGATGTTAACTGCTCCTTATCCCCGGTAGAGAAATCAGGAGGTGCCCCTTGGCGAATGGACAAAGCCCGGCCCCTTTGGGACTTTTTAAATAATTTGGGTTTGCTAGAAGTAAGAATTCAGGGTCCAAAATTTACTTGGACTAACCGAGGAAGAAATGGTATCCTAATTGAACAACAAATTGACAGAGCATTTGTTTCCACAAGCTGGGCTTCCCACTGGCCAAACTCTTGTCTTTATCATCTCTCAGATAAAGGGTCAGATCATAGACTCTTGTGTCTCATGACAACGCCAGAAATGACTAGAGCTAAACGTCTATTCCATTTTGATATTAGATGGACTAGAACCCCTGAAGCAAGGCTCATTATCGACTTTGTCTGGAATACACCCATAACGGGTTCCCTACAATTCTGTCTTTTTAACAAATTGCTCAGGGTCCGTCACGCCCTAGTAGACTGGTGCAAAGGGGGTACGTCCAATTCAGCCAGGCTGATAAAAGACCTAAGCTCAGCTCTTGTTGAGGCACGGGAAAGTCGCGTAGTGGATTGGATTCTGATACGATCTCTGGAAGAGAGGCTTGAGGTTCAGTACAGGATGGAAGAAGTCTATTGGAGGCAAAAGTCGCGTGTTAGCTGGTTAACAGAAGGGGATCGTAACACCCCATATTTTCATATGATAACAGCAATCAGGCGCCAGGCCAATCTCATTTGGGGTTTGGAGGACTCTAGGGGCCTTTGGTGTACTGATGGAGACCAGAAACTAAGCATAGCAGTTGAGTTTTATCAAACCTTGTTTCAGTCTCAGCTTAATGAAGGTATCAATGTGTCAAATCTCCCGTTTGAATATTCCGTCTCTGATGAACAAAATCAAGCTCTTGTAGCTAGTGTCACACCAGAAGAAGTCAGAGAAGTTGTCTTCAGTATGGGGAAAACTCAAGCTCCGGGACCAGATGGTTTCACAGCCGGTTTCTATCAAGCATACTGGGATATAGTTGGCAGCAGTGTCACTAAGGCAGTCCTAGCATTCTTTCACTCTGGTCACCTGTTACGATCTTTCAATAGAACTTGGATCTCACTGGTCCCAAAAACTGCAGAAGTTAGGACCATGAAAAATCTTAGACCTATTAGTCTGTGTCAAGTAGTCTATAAGATCATAGCAAAAATCCTAGCTAATAGACTAAGCAGAGTCCTCCCCAGTGTAATTTCCCAAACCCAGAATGGGTTCATTAAAGGGCGTCAAATCGCTGACAATATTCTAATCAGTCATGAGATAACTCATCATCTCAGGACCCTAACTTCAGGTCAACGAACATGGATGGCCCTAAAGCTAGATATGGAAAAAGCATATGATCGTGTGGAATGGCCTTTCCTCTTTGAAGTGATGAAGGTACTAGGGTTTGACCACAATTTCGTATCATGGATAAAAGAATGTGTCACAACGGTTTCTTATTCGGTTCTGGTAAACGGGATTCCCTCGAATTATTTCCGTCCCGCAAGAGGTCTTAGACAAGGAGATCCCTTATCGTCCCTCCTATTTGCTATCTGTACAGAAGGGTTTTTCTGCAATGATAAGGCACACAATAGCAGTAGGATATCTGGAAGGAGTCAGAATCAGGACGAACTGTCCGATGGTATCCCACATCTTCTTTGCGGATGACTCTTATCTCTTCTTAGAGGCCACATCGCAGTCATGCTCAACAGTTCTTTCCCTATTCCAAGCCTATGAAGGTCTAAGCGGCCAACGAGTCAACCTGCAAAAGTCAGCTGTTATTTTCAGCCGTAATATGAATCCAGATCTAGCTGCGGCTCTAGGGGAGCAGCTAGGAGTGGGAAGCATTGGAGAACATGATTATTATTTGGGACTCCCTTCTATCATTTCAAGATCAAAAAGAGAAGCCTTCCAATTTATAGAAGAGAAGCTTGTTAAAAAGTTACAAGGTTGGAAACAGCGGGTTCTGTCTAAGGCTGGCAAAGACGTTTTGATCAGAACAGCCGCCACCAACCTTCCAGTACATGGATTGTCATGCTTCAAGATCCCTAAAGAAAACTGCAAGAGACTAAATAGTCAAGTAGCTAGATTCTGGTGGGGCTCAGCAGATAATGTGGAGCACCCAATTCATTGGGTATCCTGGAAAAGCTTATCGCATAGTAAATTTCTGGGGGGTTTAGGCTTCAGGGACTTTGGGGCTTTTAATCAAGCCTTGTTAGCAAAACAATGTTGGCGAATTTGGCAAAACCCGAACTCTCTTCTGGCTTCGATCTATAAGGGTCGGTACTTTCAGCAGGGCACAATTTTGGATGCTAGTCTTGGTTCGAACCCTTCTTGGGGTTGGCGTAGCCTTCTCTTTGGTAGAGACCTCCTTCTCCAGGGTTTAAGATGGCAGGTTGGGGATGGACATGACATTGTGGCTTTCAAAGATAAATGGGTTATGGCAGACAAACCCATTATACCGTTGGTTCGCCTCGAGAACATAACTAATTCCCCAAGAGTTTCCTTCTTCATCAAAGAAAATAGAGGCGAGTGGCATGTCCCAAGACTGCAATATTGCTTTGATCCTCTAACAGTGAACCTTATTTGTAAAATCCCGCTCCCAAGGTGCCAACAAAGGGATACGAGAGTTTGGCATTATACAAAGAATGGTTCATATACTGTCAAAACAGGATACCACCTAGCTCTTGAGCTCTCCTTAGTCTCGAGCCGAAAACAACTGGTCCAAATCATTGATCCTCCTATCTGGAAGAAAACTTGGAACATGGTATCCCCCCCAAAGCTAAAGTTCTTTATCTGGCAGTGCCTTAGAGTGGTTTTACCAACGGTAGTAGCTCTCAGGTCTAGAGGAGTAAACTGTCTGAGACGTTGCCCAGTTTGCTGGAGGGGCCCGGAAAGTCTTGAACACCTGTTCTTCAAATGTCCCTTGGCCACAAGTTTGTGGTCACTCATGGGCTTAAATGATTTCATTTCCTCGGCCCCGACTGTGAATTTCAGTCTCTGGTGGCGACATGTTATGCTTTCTGAGCACCCCCAATCCCACATCCTCCTATGCGTTTGTGTATTATGGAGGATCTGGAAGTCTAGAAATAAGGTGGTTTTTGAGCATTTCCAACCTCATGCCCAGTCTCTCGCGCGTCAATGTTTTTTCCAAGTTCGTGAGCTGTCCTCTGTCCTTCCTTTGGTCCCTGCCCCTCCGCCCCAACCTTCCTCCTCCCGCTACTCGTTCTGGTCCCCGCCTCCTGATGGTTTTTTGAAGATCAACTTTGATGCTGCTGTTCGGCCTTCTGGGAGCTCGTCTGGTCTAGTCGTGCGCAGTTCAGACGGGCATGTGGCTCTGGCAGTAGGGTTTCTTCATCCTGGCATTGTTGATCCCTACCTTGCGGAGCTCCTTGCTGCTAGGGACGCCATCCTCCTTTTGGTGGCCAAATCTCTGTCTCAAGTCATCATTGAAGGGGATTCAGAGGTCGTGGTTCGTCAGCTTTGTCAAGGCGTTCTCTCAGACTCCGTTGGAGGCTCAGTGCTTCGGGATTGCGCTCTTCTCCGGTCTTCCGTCTCTGGTTCTTTAGAGTTTAGGGCAGTTCCTCGGACTGCTAACAGGGCTGCCCATAGAGTGGCGCAGAAAGCCCTGTTACTCTCCCCTTTAGAGTTGTGTACCTTTGACTTTGTAGGTTGGCTTCACTAATGTTTTGGGTTGGGCAGGGTCTTGGTAGGTTGTATAGGATTTCTTGATATTTCTTGGAAAAAAAAAAAAAAAAAAGAAAACAAACAAGAAACAAAATTGAACCCCACCAACGGGGTGACTACAAATTGGTTTTTCTTACCACCAAATGAACAATCCTTTTACAGGCACGACTAACAAATATAACCTTAATCTCCTGGAACGAGCCTCACAAACTTTAAATCTCACTTCAATTATCGGTTATTAAATTTTGTTGAATTCGTCCTACGTGAAAGTCAATTATACCTTGATGAGTCCACAAATTTATCATGTTTTCTTTTACCCCGCTCTTGAAAAATATACGGAATTGTGATTCAGTGGTGAATTTGAGTGATCTAGAGAGGGTTCGGAGATGACTCAGAACTATAAATTCACGTTTTGAATTTTGGTGATTGTTCTCGACTTCTTACTCTCACTTTACTACATTAGTTTTCTCACTTTTTTCATGTTTTTCAAATACAGGATTATTGGTCGGTACAATCGGGTTCGATCGATAGTGGACATAAATATCCTTGAAAATTGCAGGTAAGTGCCTGTAGTTAAAACCAGTTAAAACTACAATTATTTATTTTTGTTTGTAATGTAGTAAATTATTTAAATATGAGTGGAGAGTGTCTTAAGATAGATGGTATAAAACTATAAGTACATAATTCATTTGGTATTAGTGATTTCTCACTTTCTCGTATGTTATATCTATAAAGAGATAAATCGGTATATAAACTGGCTGTACCGTGATCAGACCACACTACTTGCTAAACTGACATGACGATATAAACTGGTTTGATTTGACGAAGTGACTCTGAAATTCAGAGGACATCTATGTAATTGACTCTAAATTCTGGGGCCAAAGCGGGCACCGGAGAAAGTTTGGGTTAATAAGTCGGCCTTGCTTTGGAAGAGAGAAATAAAACGAAAAGCGGCGGTCGGATCCGAAATCGATCCATCATAATTCCGAAATACCGAGCCGGAGAAAAATCGAAGAAAACCAAGAGAAGGAGATCGAGAGAGCGAAGCTTTTTCTAGGGCGCGAAGCTTTTTTCTAGGGTTTATCAGAAAGATTCATTCTTTACCCGGAAAGTTGGACGACGATTGGTAGCTTGCTGTATCTTCCGCCCCCAACAAGATTTCAATCGTCGGCCGCCGGTGAAACCCCTCCTCAACCCAGCCATGACGGAGGTATGTAAAATATGTTCCTCATCGTCCCTTCAATTTCTGTTGATTGCCAATGCCGAATTTGATTTTGAGGAACTTGGTTTTGAATCTTTCAGTACTGGGTCAGCCAAGGGAACAAATGGTGCGATTTCTGCAAAATCTTCCTCTCCAACAACCCTTCCAGCATAAGGAACCACGAGCTGGGGCAGCGCCACAAGGACAGCGTCGCGCAGCGGCTGACTACTATGCGGCAGGAGAAGGTTGCCAAGGAGAAGGCTGTCAATGAAGCGGCTCGCGCTCTCGAGCAAATTGAAGCTGTAAGTTGGTTCTTTTCCCCAATTCTTTTATCTCATCAATAGTGGATGAATTGAAGTGGTTCATTATTTCGGAGGGGAATTGGATGGATTGAGAGGTAGAATTAGAGCAAAAATGTTGACTTGTGTTTGGGTTTAGTCTATGATCCATATTTACAGCAAAAGATATCAGAGTTTAAGGATGGCTGCAGACCAGAATTGTCCATTGAACTTGGTGTGGAGCAACTTTAGCCATGAGCCAGAGTTGAGATACTGAGTTAATCATTCTTTTTCGACTCCCTGCTTTCTCTTGTTACAGCTCAATGTTTTGCCTGTTTTTAACACTTTCTGGTTTCTGTGATGAGATGTGATTTTCTTGGAATGATTCTCTGGGTAGTAGTCAACTAGGGACGATGCCAGACACGAAGCTAATATCATGTCTCTTACTCTCCTTTTAATGTATGCTTTGTTGATTTATTTTGTTTGTCAATACTGCTTACCACTCGTTGTTTTGTTTTGATTACCAGAAAGCTAAACGTAGCTATCAAAAGGATGTGGCAACCTTGAAGGAGGCTGGTGATGCCCGTGCACTGGATATCCTAGGAGATAGTAAGGAAAGTAAGTACACAGATTCTGTTCCTTTCTGACATTCATCCATTTCTTTCGGTGTTGCCCCTAGACTGCTCGTTTAAACATTTTTTAGCTATATTTGTCCTTAAGACTGGTTACTCTTTAACTATACATTTTTAGTTGTTCCTGAGATATAACTCTTAGCACCCTTCAAGTAAAAAAGCTAGTGAGTTTTGTTAGGAGTTTGTTCACCTAATGATTATAGGAGTCCGTGAGTTCCAGAACTGTTCACAAGCAGTATGATTGAATCTTGTCATTTCCATAGATTAGAAGTTGCCTTCAATTGCTAGAATCCTTTCCTTACCATCCGGACAATTGATTCCAACCCATATTCGCATTCCTGACATAGTTATGGTTCTTGTGTAAGATCAATTAATCCTGATGCTTGTGGAAGTTGGCCCAGCAGAAGAAGATAAAACCAAGACAGATGTTTGAACCCTATTAAAACCATGAAATAAGTGAGTTATGTCCTTTAATTGGAACTCTTCTAGCAACTCTTTCATCAATGAATGAATCATGCACATACGCCCTGGCTAACTGCATTATATTTCTTACGTGTTTCAAATAATCCTGTGTCGATCAGCCATGGATTTTATCATTGTGCTGTTTCAAACTGACGCATCTCTTTATGGCAGAATGGGACTTCGACAGTACTTCAGGCTACTACTACAATAACGATAATGGTTTGCATTACGATCCAAATTCCGGCTTCTATTACTCTGATGCTATAGGTATGTGGTGAAAAATTAAACTTGTCGTAAAAATGTGAATTTTCACTTTCCAGGGTATGTGTTTAAATGTTTGTTTGACTTGAAGTTATGGCACAGGCAAGTGGGTAACAGACCAGGAGGCGTATGCTGCAGTTAAGGCTTCAGCAAACGGCAAACACCAGAAGCCTTCAGTCTCGGTGCCAATTTCTGCGAAACCGAAAACCAGTCCAGTCACAAGTGGCCCGCCACCCGGTCCAGTTGTTTCGGCATCCCTAAACCCCACGAGATCTGTCAAAGGCAAAACTTCAGCAGTCACTGTCAACAAGAGAAAGCGAGAAGAAGATAAAAAACCGAAGGTTTTATCTCAAGAAGACAAAGCTGCGCTTAGAGCAAGGGAGGCTGCTAAAAAGAGGGTCGAGGATAGAGAGAAAGGATTCCATGGACTCTACGGCGGCAAGCGGTGATTCGAGCTCTGCCTGACAATATCATCTCAAGAACATTTTAGGGTATGCATTCAGTCTTAACTGCCTTGCGTTCTTCTTTGTAATGCATCCATTTCCCTGATCTTGCAGTCTGTACTTGTACAAAATTAGAAGAGTTGCGTCACTTGAATTGAATCTTCCAACTGTCCATCGTTTGCTGCAATGATCGTGCTTTGATTGTCTTCTTTTGACAAATAGCAAGTCCAACGATAACGGTTTAGAGCGACTTTCTATAGCATTGGTGTGATGATATCGAGAATCTGAATTCAATCTTGGTGTAGGCTTCTGAGTTCCGCGGACCAAATGAATCGAATATAATGATGGTCCGGTCTTCGGTCCTCATGAGTTTGGTCCGGTCCGGAACGAACCAAACCAAAATGTTACACACCCCTATCTCTAAATCCATCACAATCGAATCTTTCACTTTAAAATAAAAAGATAACACTTTTTCTTCTCTTCTAAGTTCTAACAACTCTCCAAATTAAGTAGTTCGTTTCCCACAAAATTAAAAAGGAAATGTCTTAAAAGTGGAAGGGGGGAAAAGTGAGGGATTGGACATGATTAGGAGTAGTAATTCATGTGAAAGTATCCTTTCTTTTGTTTGCTTTTCTTCCTTCTCATCTGCAAAATATTAACCAGAAAATGGAAGAAGGTGAGGCCTTTTAGTAAAAGATAATTGGCATGCCGATTCCCCCCTTTTCCCTACACGAGGATTATGTGCCCTCCAAAAGCAAACACCGACGGCCTCATGTACTTATATGTTCATTATAGCATATACGGTTTTCGTATTGAACTACACGTAACTATACCACTAATCGCGTACTCCTTCCTCCATGTTGTTGACAGTGGTGGAGACGAAGACGCGCATCGACCAGAAGGGAGAGCGCGCAAAGACAAACTTCAAACCCTGGATCGCGCGACGAGAAGAGCAAGCAGACCAACACTCGCACCCAATCGGGCCAGCCCTCGTTTGCATATATACATATCAATTGGAGATTTGGAGGATCAAATATATGTAAGAAAATTAGGAAGGGAAGGCTGTTTATTCTTTCACAGCCTCAACCACAACTGTAGCGCCATCATTACAGATGGTAGTGATTAAGCAAATCATGGGCTTTGATTATGGCATAAAACGAGAGAGGGTACAAATTAAAGGCAGGAAGCATTGTTTCGTCATTCTTGGTAGCCTAAATTAGTAAATTATGAACAAAAAGTACAATAAATAACACAGAGGTTCATTTGATTAGTACTGATACAGATACATAAAAATAAAAATAAAAGCTTGTTAAGAACGGCGAAAATGAATTCGTGTGGTCCTCTTCTGCTTTACACTGTATCACTCCATGATGCAATGTAATTCTTTTGATTTGTATCTATTTAATTAATTAGTTAGTTTTCTTGAATCTAAACCTTTTTCCCTTTAATTTCCACAACCCTAATGATTATGCCATATTGAAAAAAAAATTCTTTACAACCCATGTGTCCTGTCTCTATGCCCTGCTCAAATCTCAATGCCTTTAGGTTGAATGGTTTTTTTTTTCTGTAATCCTTTTGTTTGAAGGACTAAGATCGAGAAAAGATGGACAATTTAGAATGACGTATAGCGGGGAAAACATATTCGTAGTTCTTGATTTGATCGACTTGTGAATTATTAGTAAGAATTCATGACATTTTCGGTCCATGTATGTTGCTACTTTAGCTAGGTCTTACACGTATCAAGTTATTACATGTCATTATCAAAACTAAGTATTGTTTTTAATGGTTAATAACGGTTACTACATACGTTTTCATTCCACCTAAATGGCATACAAAGTAATAGACAAAACTTGAAAAGTGAAATTATGTCTTCTTCCTTCTTCACTAGCCTGACTCAATCAAAAATCAAAATAGAATGAATTTAAAACATTATTTCCATCGATCATCGTGTGATTGTGTATGTCGCATTAGCTAAAAGCTGAGACAAAACAATCTCAACTCAACTATCTCAACAATCACAACTAAAAGTTGAGATATAACAATCATTCAAAATGAGTGATAGTTTCTGTCACATCACAGAAACAATCCATGTATTGTTTCTGCTAAAAAACAAAAAAAACGATGCATTGTAAACAATACATGCATAATGACAATCTCAACAAAACAATCGCAACTTCCAAACGACCTAATAATTTAAAATTATAACACTATTTTCATTGATCATCGATTACAAAGAGTAACCGAATAATGGTATGATAGTTCATAATTGAATATCTATCGATCCCAAAAACCATAAATAAATTAGGAAAAATGAACAAAAAAAGTTCTATCCACGTGTCAAAGACCCAATTCCTCTGGAAATGTCAGGAACCGCCGCCGGATTGAATCCCAGGCAGCCCAACAGCCCCTGTTTATACGGCAGAAACGTCTTCCGCTTCATCTCCTCCGCCGCCGCTCTGTTCGCCGTGTAATGCATCTCGTGCGCCGACACCGCCCGCCGCGAGCTCCCCAAGCTCTCCGTCGACCGGAAGCTGCTGCAGTCCCTCGCGTCCTCTGCCGCCGCTGGCGAACCCCTCCTCGACAGCACCGCGTATTTCGCCGCCGCCGACAACTGCTCCGCCCTCGTCGCCCTCCCTTCCGACGCGCTTCTGAACAGGAGGAAGTCCCTCAGCTTCCACTTCTTGTACCGCCCTTTCGAAGAAAACGAAATCGCCGACAGGAACGCCGCCGCGTAGGACTGCTTCTCGCCGCCGGCGACAGGGTTGAATTCGGAATTGCAGTCGTCCTGCTCCTGCTCCAACATCACGTCGGAGATTCTCATCGGCGACAGCGACCTGCTGGTCCCCCGACGGCCGGAAACAGAGTCGAAATTGGAATCTGAATTCTGCCCCGAATAACCGCCGATCGCTCCTCTCCGTCCTCTTCCCCGTTCTTCCTCTGCATCTCGCTTCCGATTCTCTTCAATCGCTGCCCGAAAAGGGTCGAAATCTCTTTTTTTCTCCGCGGCGCGAGATCGCGGGGACCGGGGAGAAGCGACGGAGGATCCGGCGCCCGAATCGTACCCGGGAGGGGGTTTCAACGGCCGGATCTTACCGCCGTCGAAGAGCTCGTCGGCGGCGGATAACGAGCTCCTACCCAATTGACCGCTGAAATCGAATTCGAAATCGTAATCGTCGTCGAAAAACTCAGCACTCTTCGCTCTGGTACTACTGTTACGCTTTGGCGTCCCGGGCTTTTCTTCCCAATTGAAAGGAATGGCGGAGGAGGAATCGGCGGCGGCGGCGGCCATGGAATCGTCGAGGAAGAAGGAGGCGGCGGCGGCGGCGGAGGGGCTGGTGGGTGCGCTGAAGAAGAAGTTGGTCCCGAAGCGCTGAGGGCTGGAAGGGGCGGTGATGTAAGGGGAAGAGCAGGAGCTGTCGAAGTTGAATTCCGGCGACGGCGGTGCCGGAACCGGCTTTACCACCTCCATTTTCGTGGGTCGCCGGTGGAATTGGTTGATTAGTGAAGTAGCCCCGAGGCAGGGGCGGTGGAGGGAAGGGAAAAGGGTGGGAGAAATTTGATGTGAGGAAATGGAAGAGATTATTTATGGAGAGGAAAATGGCGGTGGGGGGATTAGGAAGGAAGGAGATGAGGAAAAGTAGAGGGGGCTCATGAATCACTCGGAGTGGTGAATACATGGTGGAGCTAAGTTGAGTAGAGTTTTTGTTTGTTAAATTTCGATTCGCTGATAAATCAGTCGAGTAAATCGAGTAAAATTCGAATTGAATCATTTATTAAAATGTTGGTTCGTAATTGAAATTATTAATTCTATTATTTGATAAATGCAATTAATTGATCTCGTATTTATATACCTTGGTATCATATTATTTAGTTCTTAAATTATAACTATTTCATATCATATAATTTCATAGTAATTAGTATCGAAGCAATCTATAATATATAATTTATCTTTGTAATTATAAACAAAGTAAGCTCATAAGATGCAGATGGTTTTAATCATAAGCATGTGTGTATCACTATTACCGATCCTTCCCAACATCGGCGACTCGCTGGCCGATTGTTGTATTTGACGTTCACACGTCCGGATATCGCTTATGCGGTTAAAGTCCTCGGCCAGTTTGTTAGTTCGTCCAGTCAAATGCACATGGAATTTGACTTTGGTATCATGTGTTATCTCAAGTCTTCGTCCTGGGCAAGGCTTGTTCTTCACTGTTGCGATTGATCTGACCCTTACCGCCTATTGTAGAAGTTGGTTGGGACGGGTGCTTTACTACGGGATATCTTGTAAGTGTTCTCATCTCTTGATGTACTAAGAAGCAACGAACCGTGACGCGTTCATATGTTGAAGCTGAGTATCGTGTTATCACAAATTTGAAAGATGGTGATTACATAGGGGTCAAGTTGTTTTAATTTAGTTGGAAAACTGTAACACTTAAGATTAAAGTTGAAAGGTGAGAAATTAACATGATTGTTATTCATTGCATCAATAACATTCTTATGGTTTCCCGTTGACATTTGATTATGAACTCTCTCAGGTTAAAGTAACTCCAACCGGAATCCAATGCCTCTCATTGAACAGTTGTGGGGAGGATAATGCTCTTTTCCAAATTGTGGTTCATCCCATCCCATGCCTATTTCTGTGCAAATTTTTATATATAATTTCCTTAGCTAAACCAAACAAATAAATATATTATAGCACCTATTAAATTTTATTTCTCCATAAACTCGATGATGTGAGATTTCAATTTTTGAATCCGTCGGTCGCCCTTCGATTCAATTAATCTGGATGGATTAATTCATAAATGAGATAGTTTGATTTATTGGCTTGTTTTGTAAAACGAGTCATTCATAATGAGTCAATTTGAATTACATGTTATCATGCTAAACATTTGTAATTGTCTCAAAACGAGTTGATTTCAAATTCTTCATATCAAATTGCTTCGTCCAAATTTTGTACTGTCAAACGAGTCAATTTGACTCAATTATCTCAAAATGAAGCAACTAGGTCAAATTGATCTATTAGAATTCTTCATCCAAACGACCCCTGACTTCACCCAAGACAATTGGAACTCCTCATTCATCAAAATTCTCCAAACCAAATTGATGCATTCAAATTTTCTGTTGGCAAAACCGATCAATCTAATATAATTGTCTAAAAACAAAACAATTGAATTAAATTGATCCGTTATCGTTTCACATCCAAACGAAATCCAGCTATTTTTCATAGTGCAATTTACCTTCTCAAATTTTTCATAGTGCAATTTCACAGGGCCCGGTGGTAGCTCCTCGGATGGTCTGTAGGTGGGACGGGGCCACTAAGAGTGGATCCCACTCGGCAGGTGGAGTGGTTCTCTTCCACCCTACTGGGAAGGTCAGCATGGTTAAGGGGATTCATTTTCCGATCATTGATGATCCTTTGGTGGTGGAATTACTTGTCCTCCGGGAGTAGGGGTGGAAATCGGTACGGTATCGGTATCCCAATACCAAATACGAATTACACGCTAAAGTCAATCCTAATCTCAATCCCTAAATAATTTTGGTATCCCAATCCCTAAATATTTCGATATCCCAATCGGTACATCGGTATCCCAATCAGTATTATCGAACACGAAATTAATTACCTTTGCAAATAATAATTAAATATATAAATGAGATTTTATTGTTTAATTTAGGGGGAAAAGACTAAGCAAAGAGTTTTGAATTAGTATATTATTAAGGAGAATGGATGAGAGGAGACATCTCAAGTTCTTGTCATTGGTAATCTTTAATTTGATGAATTGGACGTTGAGAGACGACTATTAATAGTGATGAAATGATCTGTGTATAATTAAATGACACAAAATTAATTACCTTTGAAATTAATAATTAAATATATAAATGAGATTTTATTGTTTAATTTAAGGGAAAAGGACTAAGCAAAGAGTTTTGAATTAGTATATTAATAAGGAGAATGGATGGGAGGAGACATCTCAAGTTCTTGTCATTGGTAATCTTTAATTTGACGAATTGGACGTTGAGAGACGACAATTAATAGCGATGGAATGATCTGTGTATAATTAAATGACACTATTTGTGGTTGAGGGTCATGTAGTAGTGAGTGAGAGAGTCTAGTTGAGAGGATAAAATACACACTAGCTTATATTTCGGTATTGATCAGTATTTCGGTATATACCGATCCCAATCCCGTAATCCCTAATACCGAATAACAATTGAAATTCAATCTCAATCTCAATCCCAAGAAATAATACGTGTATTAGGTAATACCAAATATAGACAAATTCGGTACGGTATTCGGTATATACCAAATACCGGTACCAAACTTCCAGCCCTATCCGGGAGGCTGTCTTATGGTGTCTGGGATTAGGCCTCGCTGACATTGGGTTCGAAGGCGACGCCAAAGTTATTATCAATAATATCAATCGGGGTGACCATAGAGATAACCGGATTGGTGCTGTTCTTGAGGAGCTTGCACATTATTTTCACGTCCATTTGGGGTTTAGTATTCGGTTCGTAGGTTGGCGTAGTAATAGGGTAGCTCATATGGTGGCTAGAAAAGTCATTTCTTTGTACCCAACCATGAGTCGTTTCTTTGATTTTCAGACCTAACTGAATTCTAGAATGTAACTGTCTATTCTTTGAATCAATATAAGATTATCTTTTCTAAAAAAATCTTTCTCAAATTATTATCCTAATAAATATACAAATGAGAGATGATGATGCTTGATTGGCAAAAATGGAAAGTTACCGCATAATGGTAGGATTCATGATTTTGCGATGCTGTAATTAATTATTTTTAGTGGAAATGATGATCATCAATTATTTTGGCGTAAATTTTAAAACTCACTATTTGTGTTTGACCGCAATAATTAATGGCGCGATTCCCAAGGATTTTTACTGTACATGGATTGGGAGGAGTATATTACATTCTTGGTACCATCAGGGCTTGTATGGTTGGTGGGCACTGTCAATTAGTACGAACTTGCTTAACATCGAGAATTTTACGTGATATCTTTCAAGATCAGGACTAATTCACGGTAGAGATTGTGCTTTCCAAACGATTTCGCTATACGCCAAACGGTTTAACCTTACATTAATATAGAACTCAGATATATATAAGGAATAAGGATAGACACTAAACCTAACTAGAGAGTAAACAACATGTCTTCTATATTTACAGATTGGTACCCAAAGATTATAAATCAAACACCCTCCCTCAAATTGATGTATGGTAGGCAACATCAATTTGAAAGACAAGTACCAATGTCGACTCGACGCCACTGCTTTGGTGAGTAATTTTGCAGTCTGGTCCTCTAAAGATAGATAACCAATCTGAATCACCCCTCCAACCACTAACTTTCTAATATAATGAAAATGTACCTCAATGGGATTGGTTCTGTCATGCAGTGCCGGTACAGGATTAATGGCAATCTGGATTGCACTAGTGCTATCCCCATATATTTTCATCGGAACACGACAATCACCGTGTGACAACTTCTCAGTAAGCTCATCCCCGACTCTTATCACCGTGTTGCTCAAGTCGGCAACTCCGAAGTTTATCTGACGACAACATCACTCGTATTCTCCTCCATAGATTCAAAATATGGTTGTCACTTGTCATCGAATCTATGTTACATGCGAGCATGTACGGAGGTTATAGGTAATATATAATTACCCAGCGCAGCATCAATTAATTAAACATAGTTACATAACTACGTGCATGCCTCTTATTGTCACGAATCTTGCATTTATGCTTATAAATGCGGCAGAGGGGATCTCACAAATTGGCTAATTAGTCAATTAATCATGCATGCATGTTTGTCTTAATTACGCAATTTAAGCGACGGCGCCGTATATACATAAACAAAGCTTTTAACTCCAAGTTGGCTCGATCGAGCTCTACTAATTTATTCAATGGAGAGAAAGTTCAACGTTCTAGTACTCGACGGGAAGACGCATTGCGTCAAACTTGACGGCCGGCTGGCCGACGGCGAAACTTGCGGTTTGAAAAGATTGTTATAAAAGTATTTGAGCAATAAATTCGTTTGAAGCCACACAAAAAAAAAAAACAAAACAAAACAAAACAAAAACGAAGAAGTACTCATCTAGCGGTTTTAAAAAATTTTCATATAGAAATTTTGGAATCGGAATTTATGGCGGACTTCTTCTATCGTTGGCCCCATTTAATAACAGGTAAAAAATATCGTTCGAAATATGAGACATATGTGCCAAATCAGTCTTATATCTCAAGAGACTTCTGATTGTATCTTTATTCAATTGAATTCATCGCACATTAACCAACTCGTTAATGGGTTTGTTGGTTTCCATCACTAGGTTGTTATGACTTCTTTTTTTCATCAACGGCTAAACTAACTTGCATGTCTTTTGATAGTCATACAGATAAGTGTCGCCACTTCGTATTTTCGCTAATGACATAATTGTCGACATAGAGTGCATGTGCTTCAAATTCAA